GGGGGTGCGGGAAGGTGGGCGGGGCCTTGGGAGGGTACAAGTAGGTGGGTGGGGCCTCTGGGGGGCGCCGAGCAGACAGGCAGGGTAGACCCTCCTGTGGCTGGAGTGGTTCCCGGAAGGAGACAGGATCCCTGTTCCCGTACAGGTGACAGTGTGTCGGGCTACACAAGTGTGTTAACCAGCAGAGCGTGGAGCCGCCCTGGGAGCTCTGCCAGAATGTCCTCAGTAGCTTGATTTACCTTTTTGGGGGGGAGGTAATTAGGTTTGTTTGTTTGTTTATTCATTTATGTTTTAAGGGAGGCGCTGGGGATCGAACACAGGCCTCGAGCACCCTAAGCACACGCTCCACCACTGAGCCATACCCCCCCCTTGCTAATTTACTTTTTTTTTTTGTTGGAAGGATAGTCAGTTACAGTGTGTTAATTGCATAAAAAGGGACTTGCTACCCTCCTGGGGGTGCCAGTGATGGGCGAGGCTGTGTGCGATACACTTGTGTTTAGGCAAAATTCAGATGTTAGCATTTCCTGAGAGGGTTGGTGCAGACGTCAGGGGTCAGCCTCGCAGTGCTAATGCGGCGCGAGCGGAGACAGGGTGCCCAGGGCTTCATCCACAGGTCTGCTGCCTCTGACTTCTGCTGACCCGCTGACTCATTCATTCATTGACTGGACACCTGTCTCATCTGTCCTCATGAAGAACCATACGGCCTGTCCCCTTTGCTATAGAAAATCTCGAAGCTGTCCACAGGGACAGACGTGTAAATAATGATGAAATGATTTGATTCAGAGGTGCTGGCGAGGGCCGATGGGCTGTGTCTGCTCTGTGTCTGCCTGGTGGTTTTGGCCCGCTTGGGCGTATGACGTGTAAGTGTCATTCTGTAGGTGACCCGGCAAACACCCCTGTGCTGTTCCTTATGCCCTTCCCTCTCTTTTTTGCTCCAGGACAACTGCCAACTTCTCTTCAACCCCCGTCAGTTTGACTATGACAAGGACGAGGTCGGGGACCGCTGTGACAACTGTCCTTACGTGCACAACCCAGCCCAGATCGACACGGACAACAACGGGGAGGGAGATGCTTGCTCGGTGGACATCGACGGAGATGGTCAGTCCCGCCGCGGCTCCTGGGGGTCAGGAGGGCCACAGTCGGGAGCTCACGGCTGCCCGCATTCGTCTGTGCTTCCTGGACAAGCTCATCTTCACCTAGATCCTGACAAGAGATAAAGTGATTCATTAAGCTGCTCTCACAGGACCCCACCCTCATTCTGCCCCTGCCTCTCCCCCGGGCCCCTGGAAGGGTCACCAGCCTCAAGACAGTCCTTTGGAAAATGACACATCTGGCATCTTTGTTTTTCTGGCCCTGGGTTCCTAGTCCTGCGCCCAGTCATGGCACCTTCCCTGACATCCACCTCCGTTCACAGCCCCAAGGACCCTGTTCACCAGCCCGTGCTTCTGAGACAGGTCTGGGGACAGCGTTGGTCTCTCCTGTCCCCTGTCACTTCCGTTCATACCTCATGTCCAGCCATTCATCGAATCATTTGTTGCAAAGCCCCCCAAGGGGGCTGCACTAACCCCCAGATACCGGGATCCTCTGACACCACCAGGCCAGCGTTTAACTGGAGCTGGCAGTGCCCTCAGGGGCCAGCCCTCACCCACAGCACAGCCTCCCCGCCCTCGGGCAGCAGCGCAGACTGAAGCACGCCTGCCCCTTTGCCTCTCCTGGCCCGTCCCCACCAGCCTCCAGCCTCCCCGGCCCCTCCCGCCCTTGTGTCCTGGCTGTTTCCTTGGTGTGACTTGGCATCACACTGACCGGCCTCCAGCGGTACCAGGACAGCGACCGGCTGCACTGCTCTCCAGGGCTTTCCCGACCCTGCTGGCGTCTGTGAGGTCTGACCCCTCTATCTCTCAGGGCTTCCTCCCTCCCTGCCTCCCCCGTAGTTTCCTCCTCCCAGCCGGACCCCACCTGTCAGGACAAGACAGCCACCCCAGCCTGCCTCATGGTGTCCCACGTAGGCACTGCTGTGTGAGGTTTTCCATGGCTGTTCGAGCCTGATGACGGGTTCTTCATATTTTCATAGCTCCAGGGTTGACGAAGTTCACTATCAACTTCCAGATTTCCTGAAATAAGACCTTACAGCTAAGCCCCCGGTCAGTCTGTGTTGTGTTTTCCTCCTAATGTAGGAAACGGATGAGACGTGGAACCGGGGCGCCGCCCGTTCCTAGGGGCCGAGGAGGCCTTCTGAGCGGGCATTTGGGGAAGCATCACAGTGCAGATCAGAGGTTCAGCCCTGGTGCTCCCCTCAGTAACCTTGGTGTGTGTCGTCGTCCGGGACCCTCCAGAGCTGGCTCAGCTTTAGACAAAATGAACTTTACCTTTAGTGGGAAACCTTCCATGAATTTAATAACCTTTACATTTTACGGTTGCTTGGATCATTTTTTTCTTGGACACACGTGTGGCTCTAAGTCATTTAACACAGCAGGAAGAGGGCTGTGCCTTTTCTCAGCTCCGCCTGCTTCTGTTTTCCCCCGACCCCCCACAGACGTCTTCAATGAGCGAGACAACTGTCCATACGTGTACAACACGGACCAGAGGGACAGCGACGGCGACGGAGTGGGAGACCACTGCGACAACTGCCCGCTGGTGCACAACCCGGACCAGGTGACGGGGCGAGGGCCAGGGGCGTCTGCGGGCAGCGGCGGGTGAGGGCTCCTTGGTCGCAGACGCGTGTGGCTTTGCGCTCTTCCATCTGCTCTGCCAGGACAGCGCACGCTTTTCGGTCACTTTAATTGAAAACGTGTCCTGAACTCGAGTGTGAGTGGGCTCTGCGTCTCGCTGGCCGCTGGCCAGGTGAGGAGGGGCCGTGCCTCACTGTCCCGAGGGAGCATTTCTCCACCCGGCCGTCTCCGCCGTATCCTCGCAGGCAGACAGCAACTGGCCTCTTTTCCAGGTTTGCCTTTGGAAGACACGGTGTGAACGTACCGTGGTGATGTAGTGGAGAGCGTGTCGTGGCAGACATATCAGAAAGGCCTGGTTCCGTGGCCCCCTAATCCCTCCCGGCCCCCCCGAAGGAAAGGGCGTCCGCCCGAGATGTGGGGGAGGGTCCTGGGGTCCAGCCCCGGCTCGGATGTAGACGGCGGGGACGCCCCTGCACTTGGCCGCTCACCTGCAGGGGTCGTGGTCCAGCCCGACATCCACGGGTGACCTTCCGCCTGCCTCTGTCTTACCGGACGGATGCTCAATACCACTGTCCCCAAACTGTGTCCCAGACGGATGTGGACAATGACCTGGTGGGAGACCAGTGCGACAACAACGAAGACATCGATGAGGACGGCCACCAGAACAACCAGGACAACTGCCCCTACGTGTCGAATGCCAACCAGGCCGACCATGACCATGACGGCAAGGGCGACGCCTGCGACTCAGACGATGACAACGACGGGATTCCCGATGACAGGGACAACTGCAGGCTTGTGCCCAACCCTGGCCAGGAGGACGCAGACGGTGGGTGCACCCGCACAGGTGGTGGGGTGGGGGTGCAGGGAGAGTGCTGCCTCTCCTGCCTGCAGACACAGCAAGGGTTTGTGCAGGTGCGGACCAGGACCTCCAGTTTTCCTGTTAGAGTCTCAGGTAACGGGCCAGGTGACAGGTCAGGTGCGCGGCCGTGCTCAGGGACATTTTGCATGTTCTCTGGCTGCCGCTCAAGGCTGTGAGAACGCAGCTCTAGGATGGAGTCCTGGCTGCCCTGGACACTGTGTAGAGGACACATGTCCCCCAGGACGAGAGTAAGGGATGCTGGATGTTGGAGCCAAGATGACTAAGACGCATGTGGTGAGACTCACTGATCTGGGGGTGACTCCAAGGATGCTCTCAGGGGGGTTTCAGGAGGAAACAGAACAAAGGAGTTCAGTCCCCACACCCACTCGGCCTGGGGAGGGGGCTTGCTGGCTACTGAGCAGGGGAGAGGGGTGGAGGCAAGGCTGGTGGAGTTGAAAGGCCCCTTCAACGTGAGTCCATGCCTGTCACACAGTAGCTGGGATGTGTGTCACTGAGCAGGACTGGGACACAATGAAGGGTTTGATAGGAAATTGAGTCCAACATGGACTTTCCTTCCAAAGTGGCAGGCACGAGGGTGGCTGACCTGGTGCGTGTAACCCTCCCACAGCACCACCGCTGTCTCACTGCCCAGGGGGCATGGCAGTACCGGTGGGCATCCCCCCGCACGTGTCAGCCTGGCCCTGGCCCCCAGCCCCGCCCCCTCATCCCTGGGAAACTCGGCAGGATGCTTCCAAAGGAGGGAAGGGTGTGTCTCCCTAGGGAAAACCGCTTGGTGAAGGAGTCCTTCTGTGAGTTCCAGACGGACGGCAGGCAGGGTGGTCAGGGCAGTGACAGGCCCTGACGGAAAGCAGCTGGGGCCGCAGCCCGGCGTGACTGGCGGTGTTTGGGTCTGTGCGCCTGGTTTCGAGATCCGAACAGAGTGAGAAGTGACTCACGCGGGAACTTGGCTTTGGGGTGCTTTGCTCCAGCGTCATCGCAGCAACATTTTAAAGAGTGTTGAGAGCCCTCGCAGCCCGGCCCTCAGGCGGGGCTGAGCGTCTAAGCGCTAATCCCTGCCACACCGCCGGGCACCTCGCCTTGAGTCTGCGGAGAATCACGTGCTGAGCTCTCCGAGACAGACGGGCAGGCGGCGGCCCCGGCTCTGCTAGCTTTCCGCTTGTCCTTGGCGACAGGTGACGGGCGAGGTGATGCTTGCAAAGACGACTTTGACAATGACAGCGTCCCTGACATCGACGACGTGTGTCCTGAAAACCATGCCATCAGTGAGACCGACTTCCGGAACTTCCAGATGGTCCACCTGGACCCCAAGGGCACCACTCAGATCGATCCCAACTGGGTCATTCGCCATCAAGGCAAGGAGCTGGTGCAGACGGCGAACTCTGACCCCGGCATCGCTGTCGGTGAGCCTTCAGAACACATGCTGTCATGCAGGCCCCACTTGCAAGGTGCCCCGGCGCACACGGGCTGCTCCTAAGAACCGGGTGGACGGGGGCAGGGGTCTTTCCCGGGTCCCACCCACCCTCGGTCTTTGGAACCGTCCACCCAGGTGTTTCTGGTGGAAGACCTTGGGGAAGTAGCACTGGCCTCTCCGAGATTTCACGTTCAGCACACCGTCTTCTCTCATGGACTTGGACTATAAAATATTCCCTGATGTGGTAAAGCTCTGCCGTAACTGCACAAGTGAGGGCTAAACAAATAAAATGCCATGCGTGGCATCAGTCTCACCATCACAGAGCCTGGGCCGGGTGGAGGGGAGACCTCCCTCCCCTCTGTGCTCAGTGATGGCAGGGCTCCTCCAGGAATGCCCCGAAAGGCTGTTTCTGACTTCATCTTACGATGGAATGTTCCCTTTGGCATCCAGGTTTTGATGAGTTTGGGTCCGTGGACTTCAGCGGCACGTTCTACGTCAACACGGACCGCGATGATGACTACGCGGGCTTTGTCTTCGGGTACCAGTCCAGCAGCCGCTTCTACGTGGTGATGTGGAAGCAGGTCACGCAGACCTACTGGGAGGACCAGCCCACCCGGGCATACGGCTACTCGGGGGTGTCCCTCAAGGTGGTGAACTCCACCACGGGGACGGGCGAGCACCTGAGGAACGCGCTGTGGCACACCGGGAACACGGAAGGACAGGTGGGGGAGGCCCTCCTCTGACCCTGCGGGCAGCCCTGGCCCCTCACAGAAGTGCCCGTCCCGGTCGGGCAGGGTGCAGCTCGGTGGTAGGCACGTGCTCAGCATATATGAGAGGCCCTGGGTTCAGTCCCCAGGACCCCCTTCAAAAATAAATACGTAAAACTAATTACTTCCCCCCAAAAAAGGCTGAAAAAAATACTCCTGTCTCTACTGTGCTAATTTAAACTCTGGCCACAGTCGTTTTAATGATCTGTTGGGTACCTCGCCCACTGAGTTGCCCATCCTCGAGCTTTTACCAACACGATTGGTAACCCTCTTGCAGGCTAACCATCGCTCTGCCCCCCAGGCATAGGGAGATCCGGGTTCGGAAGTCCCGGCGTTTCCCGCGGGGTCCGGGCTGAGGAAGCAGGGGCTCTGTGACTCGGCCCGCACGCCTGTGCTCTCCGCTCAGAGCCACCTTGTCCCCGTCACACTCACACCCTGAGTGTATCAGAGGGAAACGTGGCAGCTGGAGCTGAGGGGGACATTGGCAGAGTCACATTTGTCTCCCATTTGTGCTGAGAAGCTGCATCAGATTTGGCTCCAGTCGTGCTCACGAGTGACATTTCTCCCAGGTGCGCACATTGTGGCACGACCCCAGGAACATTGGCTGGAAGGACTACACCGCCTACCGGTGGCACCTGACCCACAGGCCGAAGACCGGCTACATCAGGTGAGGGTGACCCAGCGCGGCCGCGTTTCCGCCAAGTAACCTTCTCGTTTCAGAGCGGCTCCCCGTCGGACGGCAGGTTAGGGTGCGGACGGGCGGACGAGCCAGGGCGCTTCTGGCTCACATGCTGCTCTCTGGTCCCTGCAGTTCAGGCGCCTTCGCTTTTCTCTCTAGCGTTTTCTGTTGTGCATCACTTTGGAAAAAAAGCAAAAACAGAACTGGTGAAGAGGAGAAAACCAAACTGTCTTGTTAAAATGACCTGGAGGGCGGGGAACGCTTCTCCTCCTCATGAAGGCCGTGTGCAGGGAGGAGACGCGCAGTGCAAAGCACCGTCTCGCTGCAGACTGTCACGCGAGTCGTTTGGAGGGTGGACTCGTGTTCAGCTCTGCTGTTGCGAGTGGCTGGATTCAGAGCACACCTCTGAACAAGCACTTACAAGTCCATCCAGCACAGTCTTCTCCCCTCAGCGTGGAAGCCTTTGTTGTGATTTAAACAAAACATGGATGATTTAAATTTAAGTTTTTTGCAAAGTGTGTGAGAGCACGGTGCGGTCTGATTTCCCCCGTGCCAGGCGCACACGTCGCCATGACGGCAGGCAGGTCCGCAGGGAGGCCGGGCTGGTCGCAGGGGTGACCTGTGCACAGAGAGGCTCCTGCTCGCTCAGGCACGCGCTCCTCCCCTGTCGGGGCAGCGGCAGTGGGCAGCCGCCGCTTCGTGGGAGGGAGCAGGGCACACGTGGTTTTAGCGCAGCCGGAAGGCCTGTATCCGTCCTGACAGCCTGGGGAGAAGCTGGCGCCCCGCCGAGGGAGGGGCCGCCTGCCTCCCCAGACTCTCCTGGGCCCCCCGAGGCCAAGGCGTCCTGGACGCTGGGAGGGTGACGGTGGGTCATGGGGAGGAAGGGGCCCGGGCGGTGCTGGGCTGCTCTCAGCAGCCCTGCGAGGAGGAGGTGACCTGCTGCCTCCAGTAGATGTCTTCACAGAGTTCACCCTCTCCTTTCTCCTGTTAACCTGTTTTCAGAGTCTTAGTGCACGAAGGAAAACAGGTCATGGCCGACTCAGGACCCATCTATGACCAGACCTACGCTGGCGGGCGGCTGGGGCTGTTTGTCTTCTCTCAAGAAATGGTCTACTTCTCGGACCTCAAATACGAATGCAGAGGTGGGCGGAGAACACTGCCCCGGGGCGGCGGGCGGCCCAGCATAGGGAAGGGACTCGCATTTCATCTCCTTTGACAAAAGCTGCACTTTAGGGCGGCAGCTGGTGGCCTGGCCCCAGCAGGTGTTTTGTTTGCTCAGCCTGAGTCGGCTGTGCCTGTCAGTTTGTTTTAAACTGAATGTGAATGTTATTGTCAGATCGCCACTTTCCCTCTGTTTGCAGCTGTCTAGTCTGCAGCTTCCCATGGTTTCTACCCCTTCTGAGCCCCTAACAGCATTTTAAGTTGCTACCCTTGGAGGGGGGGGGGGGAGAAAAGAAGGAGGGGGAGGGGGAAGGGAAGAGGGAGGGGGCTCTTTATTGTCTCTCTGGGAGTATATTGAATCAAAGTGTTCTAGACCTGGACGGGAACGTGGCTCCCATGTTGTCTAAGCCCATGTCTTTGTGTAGTTATGAAACTGTCCCCCTTCTGTGGATGAAGTAAGACTCAGAGATGCTTCTTGAAAATCACACAGAAAGAATGTTGATCTGTCTTCTTGCTTCTACTGAAATGTTGGCTTCCCTGTGTTAGGTTTCCTTTCAAGAAATTTTATGTTTCCTTCATCCATCCTTCCATCTATCCATCCATCCTTCCTTCCATCCATCCATCCACCACTCCTTCCACTCCACTCCACCACTCCACTCCACTCCTTCCATTCATCCATCCATCCATCCATCCACCCACCCTTCCATCCATCCTTCCATTTATCCATCCATCCTTCCATTCATCCATCCATCCATCCGCCCATCTTTCCGTTCATCCATCCATCCATCCACCCTTCCATCCATCCATCTTTCCATCCATCCACCCATCCATCCATCCATCCATTTCCCATCCATCCATTCATCCAACCATTCACACTTCAATCCATATTGTGGATAGTCTTTTTAAAATTAAAATAATGCTGTTTAGCCTGTAGTTTGACAAAATAAAGCACAAGTAAACCCGTGATGCAGTCTCCTGAGTTCTGCTCCCTGTTTTGCAGACGTCTAAACAAGATTGGCTGCATTTCCAGCAGAGTACTGTAGACGCTGTTACCCAGACACCTCAGCCCATCCGGCGCCCCCAGCCTCTCTCTAGCTGCCCCTCCTGTCCTTGACCCCGACTTTGAGTGGTTCTCCGCCTCCTTCACCTCCTGTCATCGACCCAAGCCCAAGCGCCTTCAGAGGATGAACATCAGTGGAACCTGAAGACGAGCACGCAGCCCACGACAGGAAGCCCAGTCTGATGAGACATGAGACTTTCCGTGGAGAGAAAGCTGAGCATGATGTTACACTGCTTTTTCCTTGTTTGTTTAAAGAGAACGACGTTTACATGTAAAATGTAAGTGCTTGTCGTATTTATGTGTGTGTGGAGCTGCGGGAATATTGTGTGCAAGCCACTATCATAAATTAAGCAGGAGTAAATATCGCTACCCCACTTCCATCGTGAGAGCACCCCAGTCCCATTAGGCCAGGGGTAGAGAAGGGCCAGCTCCAGTTAGAAGTCAGGCCGTCGTCAGGAAGAGGCCAGGAGAGACCAGGTGTGTGACGTGGGGTGTCAGGTCGCTAACTGGAACAGGACAGACAGTTACGGGAATAAACGAGTGCCCTTCCCCAGCCTCTCATCCTCCGGTGAACGCCCTCGTACTCGGCAGGGGTGCAGCTTTGTCAGAGAAGGGCCGTCCCTGCAAAATGTGGGTCCAGATGTGGGTCTGACCAAGCCTCATTTACGGGAAGGGTTCAGAGAGGGGTGCACTGTCCCTGCAGCTGGGGCCCTCAAGCTGTTGCCTGCCTGGGACCCCCGGCCAACGTCTCTTGATTTCATGCTCTGATCACCGGAATTCTTTCTGGAGCTTTGTCCGAGTGTGCTGGCGGAGGAACAGACAGCAGAGAAGTCAGCAAATGCACTTCGGCCTCTAGTTCCCAGTCTAGGCTTTGAAGCTCCGGACCAGTTGCTTGTACCTAACTCGGTAACACATTTCATTAAGGTTCCGGTTATAAGTGCTGTGTTGCTATTTATTAAATGGATATAGAATGAAGTTCCCCTCACCAGTAACTTATTTTAAATATGCCAAGTAGCACATACGGAGTGTAATTTCTAGAAGTAAACGTATAACTAGTGTATGATAATATAAAGACACAGTTATAGCAAAAGAGCTCCCTGTCAAAATACAAGGCTTTCAAATATTATGTTGTCATGATAAAGCTCGCTGTGGACATGATAGCATAGACACATACTAAGGAGAGTTTATAATGGAACCTTAATATATACCGTTGCAGCAACTCTGATTTGATGGCTGTTACTGGTGCGTGTCTGCTGTGTGTTGGAGGCGGGGAACTCTGGAAGCTGAGGGGACCCAGTGTGGTCCTGGCAGAATAGCCAGCGCTCAGTCATGCAGTAATAGGGCCCAGGCTTGATCTGTTTTCCGCTTTCAGTTGCATGATCTTCCTGCAGGAACCGTTGGTTAGTCTCGTTCCACACGGGGTTCAGTGGGAGGACTCGCTGTGTCGCCGAGGCAGGTGAACTGTCCGCCCCTCCCTGTCGGCCGCGCCATCGCCGCTTTGTCCCGGGAGGGGGCCCACGACCTTGGCCCCACTTGCCGTGCTGTCTGATGATGTTTTACTTGTTGCTTCCGCTGGGGTTGATTTTTTTGTTTCGCTGCACTTTTCACCTTTTTCTTCTTTTTTTGTGGAAATGTATTCCCAGACAATGAAGGTGGGGAGACCTCATTAAATGTGACCATTGTGACGAGCGTGTGGGTCTTCTGTGTCGGGGGTGTTTGGCCGAACCACACCGTGGAGTGGGAGGATGATGTGAATATTTAGAATGTACCATATTTTTTGTAAATTATTTATGTTTTTTTTAAAAACAAACTTCTCATACAGATTGATGAAACTTCTTCTGTTTTGCCAAAGACTGTAAATATTTATTTATTTGTTCACATGGTCAGATCTTCACCCCTGAAACCCTGCACATAGCTAGCACCTCATTTTTATACTTTAAAGATGAATAACAGGAAATAAATTGTAAAAAGGTTTTCTATAAATGAATCTCTCTCCCTTTTTTAAAGAGTTAGCAGGGTTCCTCCAGGGGGAGGGGAAGGACCCCAGCTTGGAAGAACTCCCGGAGGGGAACAGGCCGGCCCTTCATGGCTTTCAGGCTGAGATGCAGTTTGGGGTCCTTGTGGAGAAAGAAGCTCTATTTAGGGAACATCTCATCATGGCCAC